GAAGAATCAGTTGTGATTAAAAAGAGAACAGGATATGAGCTGGGTATTACGTGATTCACCAAAGCATAACATTAGACGTTGTTCACAGCAGCAATCCTTATCAAATGGAACTAGTATGTATGATTGGGCAGGTCCTGAGGGGGCATAAGCAAGTTGTACAAAGAGGTTGCCCAAATGTCTAGTTCCTACTCCTATTACAATACGCTCTGGACCCAAGCATTGGCCAATTTGCTTATGGGGTATGTTCTATGATGAGTTGACTGAGAAAGAGAAAATTAGGACCTTTTTTACCGACAGCTTTACACACTATGCTGTTATCATCCAGAAGTGGACAGCTGCAGCATTGCAGCCCCTTTCTGGAACAACTGTGAAGGACCTTACTGGAGAAAAATCTTCACAGTGGGCAGAATTTCAAGCAATGAACATTGTTGTACATTTTTCTTGGAAGGAGAAATGGTCAGATATGTGACTGTAGTCAATGGTTTTACTGGATGGTCAGGAACTTGGAAGGAGCATGATAGAAAATTGGTGAGAAAGACATTTGGGCAAGAAGTACATGGATAGATCTCTCCAATGGGCAAAGGGTGTGAAAATACTTGTGTACCATGTAAATGCTCATCAAGAGCGACTCCAGAAGTGTTCAATAATCAAGTAGACAAGATGATCTGTTCTGTGGACAGCCTCTTCCCAAGACCATCCCGTTGTCCAGTAGGCCCGTGAACAAATTGATCATGGTGGCAGAGATGGAAGTTTGCATGGACTCGACAAAATGGACTTTTACTTACTAAGGCTGACTCAGCTACAGCTGCTGCTAAGTGTCAAATCTGCCCATATCAGAGACCAACACTGAACTTCTGATATGGCACTATAACCCAGGGTGACCAGTCAGTGACCTGGTGGCAAGTTGGTTACATTGAACAACTTCCATAACTTGAGGAGTCAACATTTTGTCCTTACTGGACTGCTTATTCTGGCCATGACTTTGCTTCTCTGCATGTGATGCTTCGCCCAAAGTAATTTCAAGCAGCATTACTTCTGACTATGGAATCCATTTCACAGCTAAGGAAGTGTGTCTGGAATGCAGGAGATCCTTTGGGGTGTCTCTTGGTGTTCCGTGTCCTGTGATTAAAGTCAATATGAAACTATAACATATCCAGGCAGGATGATGAATAGACCAGACCCTTCAGGTCACCTCTCCAGGTAAATAACCAAGATATGCTAAAGTGCTTCCCAAGGGTTGGAAGAAATACAGGATAGGATAGCAGAGGGAAGGGAGTTATAAATATCAGCTGAGGCCACATGACCAGTTGCAGAAACAAGGATTGTTTCTGCACCCTGCTGCTGTGGATTCCTATGCTTATATTAGAACAATTATTTCCAAGCTTTCATTGTGGACCAGGGACCAAGGGATCTCCAGGAGACATCTGGGCTTCCTGGCACCAGATTTGGACTGCTGGGGCACCCAGTCTGTGGAATGAGCAACTACCAGTAGTTGCCCTATTCCTCAGTGAGAGACAGTCATTATCAGGCCAATCTGACTGCTGAGGTGCCCAACCTCCAGGACCAAGTAACTACCAGGTTCTCAGCTCTCAGGTGTGAGGTGGCTGCTGCTGTCACTATGTAGTTCTGGCTGTTCTGTCACTCACTATAAGACTAGGCTGTCCTCAAACTCACAGAGATCTGCATTTCTGTTTCCCATGTGCTGGGACTAACGGTATGCATCACCATACCCAACTTAAAAAACCAACCAAACAAACCACTAAGTCCAGTTAGTATTGGCATATGTGCATGGGTGGGGCCATCCAAGAAATTTTTAAGAAAAATTACATAAACTTAAATTCACATATTTCCACAAAGTTTTTAAACTTTAACTTTTAAATTTTGTTTAATAATTTTTTTGTTGGATATTATATTAATGTAACATAGAAAATTGTAGGAAGAAATATCTAAGGATGAATATGACACCTAAGGACATCTCTTTTCCACAGGTGAGTAAATCTGTTTTCCCTTATTCTTTTTTATTTTCTGTTTTGTCTGAGACACGGTCTCTCTATATAGCCCTGGCTGTCCTGGAACTCACTTTGAGAATCAGGCTGGCATCAAACTCAAGGAGATCCGCCTGCCTCTGACTCCTGAGTGCTGGGATTTATTTTTCCCTTATTCTTAAATATCACAATAATTTTGCTTCACTTAGCATCATCCTGAAATTCTGTTCTGTGGTATAGTCAAGAATTTGCCTTAATTTTACATTTTATTTACTTATTTAGTGTGTGTGTGCACTTTCCTAGTCTCAGGTGTGGATGTCAGAGTATTTCTGAATTTGGATTTACAGTCTATAACTCAAGAAGCTTGGTTTAGCAACTCATCCTTGAAAAGTCAATTAAAACAGCCAAATTAATAGCAAAACAAAGAAAAGAGATTTATTCAATGTGGGATTACTCACATTGGGAAGAAGGCCCAAGAGATTCAGGGAGACACCCCCGCCCCTCCCGCCATCTTCAGGGCCCTGAAATGAGATTCAAGTTTAAACAGAGGGCCAGGAATATGTACATTTTACCAGTCCCATTCAAGTTATGGCCCTGCCAATCATCTGGGCTTCATTCTTAACTTGCAAGGCAGTCTTACAAATCAGAGTTGTGTGAAATATCTTTTCTGGGAGTCAATACATTCCTCTGCCTGGCATCAAGTTTCAGTGTTTTCCTTCTTCCACCAAGAGATCACTGATGTTCATTGTCTTAACAGTCCGGCAGCTAAAGGAAGGGAAAGGGAGCTTCCTGGCCTGCTGGCAGCAGTTATGGGCCGACTACCCACTACCTGATGTTTGCACCTTCTGGTCTCTATACCACCAAATGATCACCAAATCTAGTTTGTCCTGTTTCTGAAATAGGACAATTTCCATTAGTTTTATATATATCCTATCTATATATCCCATTATATCTCTCTATATCACCGTCATGGTCTGTACTACATCACTTGGTCCAGGTAACTAACTGCCAACCTGTATTCTAAGTCCTTTCTTGCCCCACTCCCATGCATTTCCCTTCCTGTCTCTCTAAATTAAATGTCTTTGGAGACAGAGGATAAAGTCAAGTTATTGCTCACTAACTGCTGTGCTTGAGAAGGAAAGAGAAAAACAATATGATTGGAGTTTTGCTGAAGCAACTTGATTGTTTTCAAAGTGGTAAAGCAGGGTACAGATTTAGCTGGTAGGGGTGGGTGTGAGTGGCAAGTGGAGATGGGTGTGAGTGGCAGGTGGAGATGGGTGTGACTAGCAGGGGAAGATGGCTGTGATTAGCAGTGCTTTTAATGTTCTAACCTCAAAATATTAGTTTGTAAAGTAGCTATATTTACTGAATACGCAAACCAAGCTAGGCTACCAGAGAAGCAAATCTAAGGAGAAAGACTGAAAATGTTGAGGTTGTGATGTGTTCAAGGTTTAAGTGATATTCTAATGGACAACTTGTACTACTTGGATATTAGAGAGCAGGGTAGAAAGGAAAATTAGACTTGGAGGCACAGACACAAAAGCTATCACTGAGTTTAAAATATGGAAAGGAGCCGGGCGGTGGTGGCGCACGCCTTTAATCCCAGCACTTGGGAGGCAGAGCCAGGCGGATCTCTGTGAGTTCGAGGCCAGCCTGGTCTCCAAAGCGAGTTCCAGAAAAGGCGCAAAGCTACACAGAGAAACCCTGTCTCGAAAAACCAAAAAAAAAAAAAAAAAAAGAAAAAAAAATATGGAAAGGAGAGGATGGCACAGTGAAAAAAAATTATGTCACATCTAAAAAAATTCAAAAGAGAATTAATTTTGACTAAGATAAGGGGAAATAATGAGTATCATTCCTGACTTCTACTGAACAGAATTCAGTAGCTCCCAACCTCAGCAGCTATAACCCATGTCTACAGATATTGTGTCAAATATCACAAGGGTACAGACAGGGAATTGCTCCTGATTAGCACTACTGAATTTGCCAGGCAGTGGCGGCCCATGCCTTTAATCTCAGCACTTTTGGGGCAGAGGCAGGTAGATTTCAGTGAATTCGAGGCCAGCCTGGTTGGTCTACAAAGTGAGTTCCAGGATAGCCAGGATTGTTACACAGAGAAACCCTGCCTTGAAAAACAAACAAACAAACAAAGAACTACTGAATTCGAATAGTACTGATGAAAAGGTATTTTTCAGCCCCTAAAATCTTGCTATTGGAGAGACAATATTTTTTATCATTCTGAGCTTATTTATCCTGAAAAAATGCTCATGCCAAGGAACTTGCATTAAGCAGGCTGCATGTACCCAAGAATGTAGAGCAGGAAAGGAGGCTATGAGAGAGTATCACTTGACTCCCAGGTGGAGTTAACAAAGTACTAAACAGAGTGATGTGAGACTCAATTGGTGGTCTTCACTCACCACTACAGACTGCTTTTTTTTCCCCCTTGAAGTAATCTTGCCCTCTAGTCACAGGCTGGTGGCTTTGATAGAAGCAGACCATGTCTTTAGCATGGCTAGGCCTGACAGTTTATTACTTGAGAAGACTCTGCAATTAACTGTGGTCCTATAGTGTGGCTGCAGAGTGATGCTTACCTGAATTATGGCAGTGGTTTAAAGGCAGAAACTGTAAAGCTAGCTGAGTTTGCCTACCTGGGTCCAGGAGACTCGAATATGTTGGCCCTCTAGTTTTCTTCCCATTCTCTTCCAAATTGCACCCTTAACACTAGTGACTTCATGAACTTGGAAAAGGTGAATGAATACACAGGTCAATGGGGACACATGAGAAACATTGGTAGGTAACACAAAGGCCTTCTAAGGTGCGCTTTCAATGAAGTGAAGAGCTGCTCCATTAAGACTATGCCATGGTGTCCAATGAGCACCATGCTGATCTAGATGCCCTTTGCTGTGGAGACCAGTGAAGAACAGCAATTGGAAAAGATACTTCTGTCAGAGAGATAGAGACAATGAAGTTATTCAAAACACAGCCCCCCATATGATGCTGCTACTCAGGAACTGTAGCTGAAGATAGAGCAGTCTATTTATTTAATGATAATCACAGGCAGTAGAGTTCCTTATCACAGATCTAAACCCAGAGACAAATCTTTTCCCTAAAATTACCAACTGCATATAGAAGGGTGTGGGGGTAGGGTGAGGCTAGAAAAGAGTTCTGAGAAGATAGAACCAAATTTTTATCAACTGGTACTTTAAAGGCCCTACTCTGGGTATTTACTAAATGGTTTATCTTGGGTTTGCTGCACAAAAACTAAGAAAAAATAACTCATACTTTAAAAGAATCTTTTAAAAACTGAATACTTCTCCAAGGGAATTAGTCCTGTGTGTGAGGGGCTCAACCCTTATAAACTGCCTCCCAACTGAAAGATTTGTTACCTAGCATACATTTTGCACTTTTTTTTTTTTTTTGGCTTTTCGAGACAGGGTTTCCCTGTGTAGCTTTGTGCCTTTCCTGGAACTCACTTGGTAGCCCAGGCTGGCCTTGAACTCACAGAGATCCGCCTGGTTCTGCCTCCCAAGTGCTGGGATTAAAGGCATGTGCCAACAGTCTTTCAATCAAAGGTACATCCAGTGAGCCTTGGCTTTCATGAACCAAGGATTTAACTTCAAGTAGATCCAACTAAAAGTCTGACATATAGCACATGTCTGACTTGCCAAGATAAAATAAATCATTTGTGGAGGACTGCTTTAACAATGTCCAAAAATCCATAACCAACTCCTATGTTTTTTTCTCCTTCTTGGATTGAGTCAATCCTTCAAAGAGCTATTTACTGGGGTTCTATGCTCTCTAGGTTTAAAAGATTTTTGTTGTATATTTTGTTTGTATTCTGACAAATAAAGCTTGCCTGGAGATCAGGGGGTGGAGCTAGTCATTAGTTAACCATAGAGGCTAGGTGGTGGTGGCACAAGCCTTTAATCCCAGCACTTGGAAGACTCACATGTTTGATCCCAGCATTTGGGAGGCTTACACCTTTAATCCCAGCACAATCAGGAGGTGAAAGACAGGAATATAAGGTGGGTGGAGACACAATCTTGGCCCCCCTTTCCGTCTGAGGATTCGTAGAGGTAAGAAGTCTCCAGAAGCTGCTCTGCTTCTTTGATCTTTCAGGTTATTACCCCAATAATTGACTCTTGGTTTTTATGGTAAGACTAATTAGGATCATACTTCAGATTTGCTTCCACTGGACTACAGTTTAATACATTCCATGAAATTGGTCATTTGTCTGTAGAACACCCACATGGATGACCTTATTATATTCCCTTCATTTGGAAGCCCCATGGGAGAAGCATTTGCCCAGTTTAGTATCCAGAGACTTCTAGACTCACATGAATATTCCTTCTCTTCAAATAAAAGTTCAGAGTTGAAATTATTTTCAATTAGTAAATGTTCAGATTATCATGGCACATACTTTGTTTTAAGTATATTCCAAGTATTTACTGTGGTTCTTAAAAATTTTGTTGTTTTTCATTTAATTTTAATTCCCTTACTTCAGTGAGCTATCTTTATTGTACTTGGAGTGAAAAAATAAGCTAGCAAGCCATGGGCTACAAAGGGACTCAGAAATTGAAGTGAAAATAAGAAATGGATTGAAGAATGTTAAAGATGTTATTGCTCCAAGTTAGGAAAAATACTAGAATATAAATTAAACTAAAAAGTTATAGTGGTAGAAAAGTTGAATCTATATCCATAGTACATTTCTTTATATACTAGAATTTATTAATCTCACTAAAAAAAACTTTCTCCAAACAATCTCACAAACATCTACAATGACACTGGGATGTGATTTTGATTACTGTAAAATGAGAACTATTTCTATTATTTAAGTAAATTACTACAGTATATTCCATAAAAAGTAAATCCTTCCAAAGACAATTTTGCTAAAACAACAACAAAGAAGAAAGTCTCTCTCTTTCCTTTTTTGAGACAGAGTCTCACTCTATAGCCCTGGATGGCCTGGAACTTGAGATCCTCCTGCTTCTACTCCTGAATGCTGGGATAAAAGAAGTGTGCCATATGCCTGGCCTACAACCTTTTCTTATTGACACAACTATCATTTAAAAAAATCTGCAAGAATTCAAACAGACTATATAACCTGCTATGAATTTTATTAAATTACTTTTTGTTTTGGTCTGGAAATTTTAGGTTTAATTAAAACCCAACAGCATTACAGGAACACACATATTAATCTACTGAGCCTTTGCATAAACATATTGAGTTTATTAAAGATACACTTTTCAAATTACCTCATTTAAAACTAACAGCTACTAAAGTCCATTTTAAAACACACTGATGATATGAAAACAAAGACCCCTGATTTGAGAGACTTACTATGGAACCTTCCTTACTATGAACTCATTCTTTTAACTTCTTCAGTGTCAATTCTGGGTGAACCAAGATGGCCTCTTCATGTTTCGTTCAACAATCCTCTTGCCCTGATCTTGCTCTGATGGTTTCTCTCCTGTGTACAGTACCACAGTCTCGACGGTGGGAGCTTTAAAGGGGCCCCCTTCTTGAGCCCATATTTGCTGTCGGATTTTTGTTGTTTCCTTGCGTACTTTCTCATAGCAATAGCCACAAAGGACATGTTTCTGCTTCATGTGACCACATTCAGGGCAAATGTCTATATTGTTCTTGAAAACAAAGAAAAACATATTGACAACAGGCAACATAATACACAATCACCAGCAGGAGCCCTAAAATGCTGACACTGTAGCTTTCTGAGAAGGTTCATGCTATGCGAGGTTATAGACTATCTTGTTCAACCTTAACAGTAAAACTGAGAAACTAGTAACATTGAGTTCAAATTAGTAAGATAATTGGGGCTACAACTCAATCTAGCATACTTTTATTTGTATAGCCTATGAATAAACTATTCTCAGATTCTCTTGTCTACCCTCTGGCCTGAGTAGAATATTCTGATTATGTAAGTCCCGTGACTTTAAGCATTCCACATTAAGCATAGCCAAAGAAAACTTTGGAGATTTTTAGAGAGGAATTGTTTGTGAGGATCCCATGTGACTTTTGAATTGAGAGATCTTTCAGTTCTCTAATTTCAAACACTAAATAATCAACAAGGAGCCCATCAACACAATGAGCTGAACCACTAAGGGTAACTTAAAACATCAAGGAAAAGTGAAATTCCTTTTCAATTTGTGTGGCGCCAAACAGATGATTAAGACTATTATAAAGCCAGTTCCTCTCCTATATAGATATGAGGTTATTCAACAGTAGGCTTGAGGAAAAGAGTGTGTGTGTGTGTGTGCACACACCCACAACACACACACACCCACACACCCACCCACGAATTACCTTAATTGCAATAAGCTTCCGGGGGTTTCTTCTCCTACACCGGTTAACTTCAATGGTGCGTCTGTTTTTGGGGGCTGCCATCCAAAAGATACTATCTAAAAAGCTGGACTCCTCTTTATTTCCACTGGTATGATGTTCTAGTTCTGTGAGTATGGGTGGACCCTGGACTGCTAATGCTGGTGCTGTAAAACAAAAGGGAGACCAGAATCAACTTCTAGTCCCTAAATGACTATTTATACTGTTCTCTTTAACAATCAACATGTCACTAGACACACACATGTATGTGTTTGTGTGTATGTACGCACACATGAAGGTCGGAGCTAGTTCTCTCCTTACACTGTGTAGGTCTTGAGGCTAGAACTCAGGCCTTGAGGCTTGGCAGCAAGGCCCTTGACTACTGAGTCATGTGGCTGGTCTGACATACATAGTTTAGCATGTTAAACTAAACAAATATTAATAATAAGCCCCAGCTATTAAAATATACTAAAGCTCACACAAAAGGCAATTTTAAATAATTCAAATGAAATGTTTTCTTAATCCAACCTCCTGAAGCAACGGGTCTGTTAAGCATTTCTTACTTTATGCAATACAGGACGCTGTGGTTTAGTAGTAAATAACGTACAAGTAAATCTAATCTTGAGATTCCTTACATGCACTTTTCCTAGCACTGAGATGACTACCCTGGCCATCACCTGTACCATAGTATTCAGACCCAGTTAGCTACTTTAGAAACCACATATGTTTCTAAAGTCATAAACTTTTTCCTTAATATTTAATCTTGACCTGTGTGCTAAGAAAAGGAGCTTTATTATTTATGAGACCATCCAGTGTTTCCCTTTTGTTTTTCTAAACTGCTTAGAAAGGCACTCCTTTGCCCTTCCTTTTTTCTTCACACTTGAAATAGTTCGCTCTATTCTTTGGACTTTACCAGTACATAAGCTGTCCAAGCACCGGCCTGAAATCCCAGAATCAGGAGGTTGAGGGCAGGAGAATCAGGTCTGCCTGGGCAGACTGGACATGGATAAGAGACCTTGTCTCACCCCTCCCTCTCCACACCGCTGACCAAAAAGAGTAAAAAGTACATAAAGCTTTCTATACAGGCATTCTTTCTCAACAGACCTTTTAAGTTTTACTACACATAGCTCAGCCTTTTATAACAGCTCTAGACTGCCTGCATGACCTTGGGGATTTTTTGGCCTATTAGACACCCAATGGATTGAAATGATTATCTCAGGTAGCAGATGGAGACAAATATTTATTACACTACGTTTATGATCTAATGGAATATATCTCTGTTCAGACTGTCTGGGTATTATCACTTCTGGGATACGTTGTAAATGCTATAGCAATTTAAATTTTAACATCCAAGATACCAGTAGCTCGAAGCTAGCCTGGGATACACAATGAGTTCCAGATCACCCTTAGTTAGCTACAGGGACAGTCTCCAACCCAAAAAAGCACGCCCTGTTTCTCTCATACAACTCGGAAGCCCCCGCCAACCCACTTCCCACCAACTCTCGCCTTACGGACCCCACTGAGGACTGGCAAGCCCGTTCCAGCTCTGTTGCAGTTGCTGCAGCAGCTCCCAGCACCTCCGGAGCGGTGCGGGACGCGCGGGGCACGGAAACGACAGTAACAGCAAGGCGGACGCCATGTTTCTCACTGGAACGAGATGCGTGCTGGGACCTTGCGCAAGCTCTCGTCTCCCCTGCCTCCCTGCGCAGAGCATGCGCAGGGCCGCTCCTACACACGCGCACCGACTCAGAGCTCCCGCTGCCTCGGATCCTCAAACTCCAACTCCCAGCTGCCCCTAGAGCGCTGCTGACTCTCCTCCAATCAGTGAAAAGAGAAAAATTAAAGGAAACAGATGCACTGCGCATGGGCGTGGCTGTTTTCCGACTTCCCGGGTAAAGATGGCAGAGCGCGGTTACAGCTTTTCGCTGACTACCTTCAGGTACCCGGGAGACCCCAGGTTCCACGCACCTCAGGTCCCAGGAGCGTCTCAGACATGGCCCCCATGCCCTGGATCTGGCTGGTGTTTCCGCAGGGGCGCGTGGGGCTGGAGCTGGACTCGCAGCTTTGCAGAGTCATGTGCGGTGCCAGGCCTGCTCCCCGGCTGGGGCCCGCCGCGTTTGGGGCTGAGGGTCAGGAGGCTCCGAGACAGGCACTGGCTTTCCCTCTATAGATTACAAAAAGGGTGCTTTGGGATAGCCTGTTTCCAGCTGGTCCATTCAGGACTAGGATTTCCTTCCTGGCCCAGATAGGCCTGTGCGGGAGCTTCGGAAACTGGCTCCTGTTCAGACGTGTGAGACGCCCGTTTTCTTTTGGGAAATCCTTCTTTACTGTTAGTCCGAGACTTAGTCTCCCGCTTAGGAGCATGCACTTTGAAGCTCACTCAGCTTTCGGTTTCTACTATGCTTCAATAGAAGCCTAAGAGCTACAGAATGAAAGAGCTGATTTCCTGGCAGGTTTTCGTGGCGCACTCAAACCGATAAGCCAAAGTTGATGTTTTGCTTGATTCGTCACGAAAAAAAAAATGCTTTAAAAAGATTTTAGACCTTTCTGTTATGGGACAGAGAGTTAAATATGTTTTCTCAAAGTACACTTGGTGTGTACTTTGTTTCCTCATCGTTCTCTGTTTAAGAAAATTTATCACGGAAGAATTTAAATAAACGACTGTGGTGTGACCATTTTCTTAAGGATCCGACTGAAGGCAACCAGGATCTACTTGTTGAATTTAACTGTAACTGGTTTTTCCACTACCACTATATGATGAGTTATGAATGAACTAACCACAGCCTAAACAATTGAGCATTTTCAAGGTTGTTCACGAGTAGCTAAGTCGATATTCAAACTTTGTTCGTTTTGAAAACAAAAATTAGTGTACTTTTCGTTACAATATATTGTTTTTCTTTTGAAAATTGCCTTTTTGTAGTTTAAAATAAAAAGTGAGGGTATGCAGTTTTGCTGTCTATGTTTTGGATACTTTGAATGGATTCCACTTAATTCCTTAGCAAATAATTTAATTATATAATATGACAGAGACTAATTGTGCTTGGTAGTCACTTATATTTGTAAACAAAACAGATGTGGTCCTAAGTTTGGTTTCACTGGAGCAGAAACAAAAGAATATAGAGCATAAGGGGCTGAAAATTTTTTTTAATTCCTCTTTGAGACAGAATCATTTGTAGCCTAGGCTAGCTTAAAATGGCCAGTAACTAAGGATGACCTTCAAGTGATCTTCCTGACTCCGCTTCCCCGTGATGGGATTATAGTAGTGCACTGCCATGCCTGGTTTATGCTGTGTCATGCATTCTAGGCAAGCTCTCTGCCATAGGAGCCACAGCCTCACTCCCCAAATCTTGTACAGCAAACATCTGAATGTTTTCACAACAGATTTCTTTCCTATAACAATTTTTTTTAACATGATAAGATTTATCTGTTTAGGAAGAAAGTACTGTTTTTAGTCTTAAAAACTACTAGTGGTGCAAGCTGCCAGAGATAGGAAATGAATTGAGTTTTCTTCCAGTTTACATTTGACTGAAGATGGTAAATGAGCAAAAGAAACTGGTGCCTACTGGTGCAAATTCTGCAAAATACTTTTCTGTTAGTGGAAATCTTATTGAAAGAGGTGAAAGGAGTGTAACCTCAGACTGAGATCTCAGGAAAGGCCTGTGCTTGGTGAATTCTGAAACTAGAAGATGAAGAGGAGCTGGCTGCTTGAACACTTAGGAATAAAGAGAATTGTTGACAGGCTAAACCATAGTGAGGAAGGAAGCAGTATGGATGGGGCCAAACATGAAGGGTAGACAAGGGAACAAGAGTATGCCTGCCAGAGTAGGTAATTTTTGTTTGAACTGAACTAGAAGTTTTTGTGGGATTTACATCAGAGTGACAAGGTACAAAGGAACTGAAGATGAGAAGTAGTCACCGGCCTGTTGAAATTACCCCTGGTTGACGCTGGTGTTTGCCAGTGGGGTACGGGGATTACTGACTGCAGAAACTGCTTGATTGCTCGGTACACTTGCCTAAAGTCAAGGCTGGTGAGTGGTGGACAGAGGCAATAGTAATAATGCTTTACTAACCAGCGCGGGGGAGAGAACAAAGCAAAGGAGAGAGAATTAGTGCGTGACCCTGAGCGTATCCAAATTGTAAGTATAGTTTCCAAACAGCTTCATGGCAGATCTCAAAGGCCAGTAGGTTTGATTAGTGAGGTTTGACCCATATGTCTTCCATCTGTCAGAAGTGTGCCTATAGTAAATATTTGAAAATGTGTGAACATAGCAAATACCTTTGTTTCTTTTTAAGCCCATCTGGGAAACTTGTCCAGATTGAATATGCTTTGGCAGCTGTAGCTGGAGGGGCCCCTTCAGTAGGAATTAAAGGTAATTAAATGTTTCATTCACTTTGGATGCTTGTTAGTAGTTACCTGAAATAGATTCTTAACAGTCTTTTGGTTAGATTAGAGGATTTTGAAGTTAAAATAGCATTCAGCCCAGTAATTTAAATTTCACAGCAGATATAGCATTTTAATCTATTGTAATAATCCATATGTAGTCTTTTCCTCAGGAAACCATTATTATTTTATTTTTCGACGAGTCTCTTTCTTTGGAAGTTTTATCTTACTTATAAAGGGCTAATTGTAAAATATCTAAAGATAAAATTATTGTATGTTCTAGTATCCTTGTAGAAAAATTTCTTACTGTTTATATTAGAAGAGTTAACGAAGTTTATTGTTTTTAAACCAATAAACCTGAAAATATTGAGAGGGACTGGGTAATACCTGCAGCTGTGGGGATTTTTTTTGTTTGTGTAGTATAAATGATCAGTGACAGAAAAAGTGATGTATTATTTCTTAGGTAATTTTTGTATAAGAATCCAGAAAAAGGTTTTATAATCTAGAGAAAGCAACAGATTTGTTTAATGCATCTGTAAGTAGAAAGCTAATGAAAAACACATTATAATATTTGTCTTTTTTTTTCTCTTAAGCTGCAAATGGTGTAGTATTAGCAACTGAGAAAAAACAGAAGTCCATCCTGTATGATGAAAGGAGTGTACACAAAGTGGAACCGATTACCAAGCATATCGGCTTGGTGTATAGTGGCATGGGTCCAGATTACAGGTATTATATACTGTTTACAGGGTTTTCTCATCATCTCATATCTTAGTCTTTCTTTGTGGTTGTTTCATTTAGTCCTGGCAGCCTAATGATACCTAAGTTTAGTTTACTTGTAAGGTTTACTTTATGGAGGTTGATCTTGTGATACACAGTTGTAAAAGAGGTGATAAATTACCTACTCACCTGTTTTTTCTCATCACTATCCCATTTCATCCATCCAAGGACTTGGTAGGAAGGGCTTTGGTGTTCTGATGCACCTTAAAATTGATCAAATGCATTCATTTTTTATAAAATATTGTTAAGGTGATTTAGGCAACAAGAGAAAGCATGGACCATGTAGAGTTAACTTCATTCTGTTTATTTCTGCTCTTGTCAAAGGACAAATGTCTTTTAGGCCACTGAAGGCTTCTGAATGGCCAGCCGGGATTCATAGGCTTATAGAATCACTCCCTTTGTATTTCACCGGAAAAGAGAGAGTATCCCTGTTATACTGGGGCACCAGTGAGTTGAAAGAGATGGATACCTTTCTTTTGTCATATACAAATAAAAACAAGATTACTTTAGTTTTATGAAGCAAGATAGAGTTTCACTTGGAATTATAAGCCAACAGGGTTACCAGAATATGATTAGCTTTCCTGTTGTGGAAAATTCTACACCACTGTGTAGAATGGACACTGCAGTAGACTGTTGCTAATAAGCTAAACTTCAGAAGGAAGGACAGGAGTGTCTTAGAGATAATGTGAATATTTCAGATAAGTAAGCATGAGTGGGTGAAGATAATCATCTTTGTCTTAATATCTTTGATTACTATGTGGTTATATTTGTCAGTGTTCTCTAAAGGAACAGAACTAATAGAAGACACACACACACACACACACACACACACACACACACACACACACACACCCCCCGTGGGATTTATTAGACTGATTTACAGGCTGTGGTCTGGATAGTCTAACATTGGCTGCATGATGGCAGAAAGGCTGAGAATAAGGCAGTTGTTCAGTCCATGAGGCTAGATGTCTCAGCAGCTCAGTCTAGTGCTGGAGTCCTGGAAGATTCCTGCAGGGCTGCTGGTCATCGGTCTGTCTTGGAATCCTCAAGAAGTTGTGTTTAATACTGGTGGCAGCAACAGTATAGACACCATCCAGCTAGAGTGAGGCCAAGAAGGCTAAAAGCAGTTTCCTTGTTCTGTGACCTTTTTATCTGGCTTGCCACCAGAAAGTATAGCCCAGATTTAGGGTGGGTCTTCTTGCTTCAAATAATCTGATTTTTAAAAGCCCTTGCAACATCTTGGATCCCAGTTAATTCCGATTGTAGTTATGTTGACAACCAAGATTAACCATCACAATAGTACGATTTTCATACCTTATGTAACAAGAAGTTTCTTACTGTTTGTTTAATCTTTGAAGACTATTCTGAATTGAGGCAGAGCTTAAGGTAGATTACAGAAAAGACGGAGGCTGAGGGATAGAAATATGCCCAGAATTGAATGTGTGTATTCATATGCATCTGTGTTCAGGGTGGCTGGAGTGAAGTCTAAATAGACTCAGGACAAGGAGGTCAGTTTGGTAGGAGTCATAGGAGGAGACATGAAGCTC